TCGACGTCTCGATGTTGGAGCGCCGGAAACGCTACTCGGCTTCGCCTTTAGCGCATATTTCACGAGCGTTCGCATCGCCGAACGTGCATTACATACACGTGTCCTCAAAAAACGTACGATACAGCGTAGCGATATTGCAATCTTTTATGTATACAAGTATAACAATATTTCTGCATGTGTGTATGACTGTGTATAAACGTAATCGTATCGTCAAGAAAAGTTATACATACATATATATATATATATATATTAGAGTAAGGGATTACTTTTTTTTGCGCCACCTTTTTATTCCGCAAAACCTATTCTGCAAAATGGAGCGTAGAGCGCGAACTCTCGCGAATTTAAAAGCAGTCTTTAACACCGGTTTTATGGTACGTCGAGACGTGCCTGTAAAATATCGAAAAATTGTCGCGGTATAAAATACAGAAGTCGTATCGTAACGTGCAAAAAATGTGTTTGGCTCTTCTTCGTGACAGTCAAAAGTTGAGCGGAAATAATAGTCTAAATCTTTTTCAGAATCGATTGACACTTTTCACGCTTTTTCCCAGCTATATCGAAAAGCGTAGCTTTTCACGCCGTTTGATTTTGCATCGGACTTATTTCTGAGGGCCGTTCGCTCTCGAGAACGATATTTCGTGAACACAAGGGGTTATTGTGAATACATAGTTTGAGCCGTTCGTTTTCCTTGCAAGCACGGAATGCTTGTAAAGTCAACGAAACGTTTGGAATAATTATCGACGTATACTTCGATTATCGACATTTTGAAAAATTAAGAATCTTCTGAGTTTTCAGCGAGAAAGTTGCTCACGGAGATCTCGATCCTCGCGGCAGCCGAAACTCGTTACAAGGATATCTTTCGCTCTCCCTTCGCGATCTGTTAATTGCGATAAGTGGCAATGTACACATTTAATCCTACCTCGGAACGCTTGTTGTACGCCGTAAGTCCCGCTTCTATAACCGACAAATTCGCGTCGCGTGTCAAATAATAAAATTCCCGATGCGCCAAATCGGCGTCAACGGGGTGGAAAGGATTTTACGAGCCAGGATGAGTGTCCTTGAGACATGTGCAGACGCATCCCACGGTAGAGAAGAGAGAATTTCTACGCGGTTATACCAAAAAATGGAGCCGCAATTCATCTTCCTTCGGCGGCGCGGGCGAACGACGGCGTTACTCCATTATCGATAGTAACTTTCACTCCCGCCGTGTCTCTTTCTTCGCCATTCGATGCATCCGTAATTTACCCCCGATAAATCACGGCCCGCGATACCCGCTATCGCTGCCGCGTCCGGCGTTTTATTTGGCGAGATTTATTCCTTCGACTCTCATTGTTAGCACACATTGTTCCGCGTTTTAACGTGTGATTTCGTTGAATTAAATTTGCCCCGGGCATGATCAATCCCGCATTATTATACCGAGGACTGAAGATCCGGCCGAAAAAGAAGCAATCGCGACGGAAGTAATCGCGACATAGCCCGAGAGAGTGCAAATCAACACGCGTCTTCTGCATATACTAAACGGTGCTCAATTTCCGTCCGATTTCCGCTGTGTCGCGAAGTTAACGCCTCGAAGCCTAATTCTCGAAAACCCGTTGCAGATTCTACCGGAGCTGAAATTCCGCCACTCTCTCCATGCCCAGCGAGCAAGCGAGCGAGCGGCTGCACCGCCGCCGCCGCCGCCGCCGCCGCCGCCGTCGCTGCCACCGCTGCCGGAGTCGATTCAAGGTGCAGTCACCTTTCTCAGGCCGGGTGACCGTGGAATTCCACTGGGTACACTCGGACGGAAAAATAATCTCGTTCCGTAAAGTACATCTTCGCCATACACCTCGCCTCTCGTTCTCTCTCTTTCTCTCTTGCTCTCTTTCTCTCTCTCTTTTCCTCTTCCCTTCGCTTTCCCGCACTCTCTACCGCGGCCATTACGCCGGTCGGCGAACTAACTTAAACTCGGCCGCGCCCCGTGCATTTTAATGCAGCCGCGATTTATCAGGGCCGCGGGATTTTCGATGTGCCGTCACCGCTGCCGTCGCCGCCGCCGCCGCGGGAATTGCCCCCTCGTGCAATATCGAAAGTAAAAGTGACCGGAAAATTACCCACGTGGGTACCGATGCCGCGATTCAATGGCGATTAAATGGTAGTAATTTCGGCGTGCGAAACCAGAGCCGGTTGGAATTCGGCACGCTGTACCGCGGCGGGAGTGTGGGGAGAGATGTAGCCTTCCTCGCGAGGATTTCAAACCCCGACGTCGACAAAACGAATCGTGTTCTCTGGTCTCGGTTTCTCCTTCGTCGGACATATAATGTCTCGCGATTGACAGACCGCGTTCTTCGCAGAATAAAATCAAAATTCGAAAAATTGTAAAAATAATTATTATTAATAATAAATTTGAAAATTCTGAAATTAATTATTAATAATTTAAAAATTGTACAATTAATTATCGTTAATAATAACTTGTTAAATTTAATTTATTAATGATAAATTTAGTAAATTTAGAATTAATAATTGTTAGCCGTCAGTTATCTATTAATTATTTACTGCCCGAGAGAAAACGAACGCTTTGATAACGAAAGCATGAATAACGAAGATTTTAGCTTCTAGAATTGCCGCGTTTTAGATAAATCTTCAAGTATAAACGCGTATTCGCATTGCACGGTATTACCGCGAGAATTCCCTGATATCCACTTAGAGATCGTCGTGATTTCACGATCTGAAAGACACTCATCCGCTGAAACGAGGGGAACGGACGATACCCGCGTTTTTAGAAACCTGCGCGGTTCCCTAACAACAGCGTAAACCTTCTTAAGGTTAAATCCCTAACACGACCTTACCACTTAACTTACATATCGACCAGAGGAAAAGAAAAAGAAACGACCGTCCTTACATCGCTAACTCGCGCCGCGATATCAGATAACATTTTGATAGTTTCTCCGTCTCCGCGATCTCTCGACGATCGAGGGATCAAATCGCACGCGGATACCCGCTTACCGATTACCTCTCTTGCTCTCTCCTTCGTTTAGCTTTCTCTCTTTTCCACTTTGGTAGGCAGGTATCCGGAAACTCGACGACGATCTAGAATCTCTTAAAGTTAAAGATAGTCGAGGACGCGTTGACACTAGCTCAACTATACCGTCTCCGTCGTGCCTCTGTACATTGGTGTTTTTATTTAGAAAATAATTCGACCGTTTAGAATATATATATATAATTTATGTTTTATGTATATATATATATATATATATACTTTTTTATTTATATATCTTTATGTATATATTTATATAGCTGCGTCCTACGTTACTTATAGTACGGTCAATCTCCTTGCATATGATACACGTCTCTCATCTCGCGCGACACGAACTCTTGGTTGCGCGTCCGCCTGGAATAAAACGATTGAGCGGCGCTCGATGGATCTTAACGAGTCGCTCCCGTTCCCCGAACCGTGATCTTCGGATCTTCGAAGCTGTTACGACTCGTTAAGCTCACGCCCTCGGATCGGCCTCAAGAATGACTCGGCGTAGACCGATGCGCTATCGAACTTCGGTTTCGATCGAGCTCGGCGGTCTCGGCTGCACGATCGTCAGGTGGTCGACCGCGCGTATAGAATTTTCACGCGTATATATATGTATGTGTATCGCATGGAACACAACAGTGGCTCCACGTGGCCGATGGCCCGTCGTTTCCGGGAGTGGGAGAGGGAGGGAGGGGGATTGTGTGGACCGACCGTCTTCCCGCGGGTTATCCACCCGCGAGGGATTTCCGTTTGGCATCACTCATCCTCGACAGTGCTGATCTTGCGGTCATCAGTGATAAGACGGACGTGATAAAAATCCTGGCGAAAGTCATTCCGTATCCGTTGGGTCTTCTTTTCTCCGTGATTCTAAGACGGCGACTCCCCACGGTGACGTGAGAGAGGGTATTAATCTTCAAGCAGTCGCGCGGGAAGATGGGCTTATTAAGGACCGCTTAGGGTTATAGACGAGGTGTATAATTTTCGGAATGCCATCTCGTTCCGGAAAAAGATGCGGCATCTTTTTACAGATATACTTAACGCGAAGTTTATCCGCACCTTTTGATTACGATGGCGAGCTCATTGGTTTTTTTTTGCTTGCTTGAATACGTTCATTACAGGCCAAAAGAAGATAAAAGTAATAAAAAAAAAAAAACAGTAGAAAAATATAATTTAACGTTTTTCAAACGTGAAATTATAATCTACGAAGAATTGTTCATATTTGGATTTTGCATTACTGCACGGAAAGAACGATTTTGCTGGACACAGATCTGAAAATAATTTTATTGGACTATCAAATTAATTTTGTTGAAACCTAAAAATTGATGAGCATTTCTGTAAACTGAATTTTGATATTTCAGCACAATCAGTTTAAATTTCCAACAAAATTATTTTGATATTTGCATCAATTAAAATTTTTAGACTTTTCAGTAAAATCGTTTTTTCCGTATGAAATTACGTTATAAAATGTCTTTTTTCTGATAACGCGAAGACGATTAGATGTTGTATCTAAAACCTTAGCTTCATTCTTTCTCTACGAAAACTTAAATAAAAGTATTAAGTAACAAATGTCTTTTTAACACCGATCGTTGATTTTCGACTGATCGCGGCATCATTGATTCACGATGGTCGATCCACGACGATACTAATATTGCGATCGTATACGAATAGAATGTCCCGAATAAATTGTATATCATGGCGATATGACGATCACACTTTTAGTGCGATCTTTTTGGTCGTGCTTCTTGATATTCTTCGTCAAGTGTCGTCAGTCTTCTTCCTGTTTTACCAGTTTTCACTTCTTTTTCTGTCGCGCGACGAAAGGAACTTTCTTCTGATTGGTCTCTGCTGGCCTCCTTCGTCCATCTCTTCAAATTGTCAATTGCGAATTCCTCCGTATGTAAAACAATGCGGAGGAGTTCCACGGTGCGATCGCGTCTCTTCTGGACTGCAGATCCTGCTTTCCGTTTTCTCGATCTGCAACGTGATGCGTCCGATTTATCGTCTACGCTCGGTACGTGCCGATCACGCCCATGTCGAGGTTGTCGCGCAACTCCATCTCCAGTTGGGTCTCCCTGTGCTTATCGGACCGGTGCGACGTTATCGGTGGCGGTGGCGGAGGCGGCGGCGAACCGGCATCTCGCTCGCGATTCCTCTCGCGAGCGGACGGCCTGTCCTTCTCGCGCTCTCTCGTGTGGTGATGGTAGTGATGAGCGGCGTGCCCGTTGACCGGCAGAGTGGGGTACGAGGATTGGCCGCAGTTGGGCTGGTGCCTGGAGGGCAGCGGCGGCGGCGACGACTGATGGCGACCACCGGCCGGGACTCCGTTTTGAAGTCCGGACTCCAGAGTCCGTATCCGATCGTCCGACTCTCTGGCGGAGAGCTGCGGCTGCGAGTGCGGCGTACGGCGCAGAGAGTGACTGGAGTAATGGGATCTCGCGCCGCTAGACGTGACTCCGTCGATCGACGCTGCGCTCAGCGACGCTGTACCATCGTCCACGACGCCTCTGACCCCTCCTCCCCCTCCGCTACCTCCACTACCTCCTCCCCCTCCTCCGCGGTGACCGGACGCGTTGTTCGCGACGGGCAGCGTTCCCGGGCGGCGCATCTGGCGCGCCGTTTCGCCGTCGATGTAGGTGAAGCCCTCGGCAAGGGTGGTGCTGCCGTGAGGCAGGAACCAGACCCCACCGGTCCCGGGGCTCGCTGCCCGAAGTTCTAGCTACAGTTCCGTCACCGGTATCGGCTTGATACCGGCCGCTATCTGAGCGTGCTGCTGCTGCTGCTGTTGCTGCTGCTGCAGCTGCTGAAGGTGATGATGATGATGATGCGTCGGCACCGGCTGAGACTGCGGTGTCTGATGGTGATGGTGATGGTGATGGGCGTGCGCCGAGCGAACGATGTACTCGTCGTCGGAGAAAGTCTTCTGGTATTCGTGCTCCTTCCGCGATATCGCACGGTTTTTCCACTTGTAGTCCTTGAGCGCGTCCCGCACGCGTCTACGATATCGGTAATACAGGAGCAATGCGAGACCGGTGAAGAGGGCCAGCCCGGTGGCGCACACCGTCACCAACAGAGCCTGCTTACGCGAATCTGAGAAGGCGCAGCCCAGCTCGTCTGCGGTCATGCCCTTGATGGGCTTGCCCTTAGATTCGGGCGGCTCGGCACATATCACCGGACTCGAGTTCCTTGGGACAAGTATCTCCGCCAGCCATAACTGACTGCAGTCGCACACCAGTGGGTTCTCGCTGAGATCCAGTCGGCGTAATTCGTTCCAGGCGACCAACGATTCCGAGAATGTGACAAAGGCGTTGTCGCGCAGCATTAGATGCCTCAGATTCGGTAAGCCAGCCAAAGAACCGTCCTCCATAGTAGCCAGCCGTTTGTTACTGTTCAATACGAGAGTCTCCAGATTGGCGTTATCCGAGAAGGCCCCTTTTTCTACAGTGGTAAGCAGCTTGGCGCCGGATACGTCGAGCTTTTTCAACGTCAACAGACCTTGGAAGGCTCCTGATCGCAGAATCGTGAAGAAATTCTGGCCTAAGGTGAGCTCCTCCAGGCGCGGCAACACCGCCAACTGTTTCGTCGGTACTTCGCGCAGTTTGTTAGCGCCCAGTTTCAGGGTACGAAGGGCGTTCAGGCCGCGAAACGCTCCGTCGCTGATGTTGTCCAGCCCGGCACCCATAATGTCCAGCACCGCCAATTGCTCGAGACCCTTGAACGCGTCGTCCGGCAACGAGGAGAAGGCATTCCAGCCGATGTGAAGCTCAGCGAGGGCGTTCAATGGTGCTAGGGCTGGCGATGGAATGGTTCGCAATTGATTATCGTCGAGGTACAGTACCCGGAGAGTGCCTAATTTCTGAAACGCGCCTGGCTCTACTTTCGATATGCGATTCTGGCCCAGATCAAGCTCCTCGAGCTTCGACAGGTAGGAGAACAGGCCGTTCTTCAGCGTCTCCAGGTAGTTGTCCCGTAGGTTCAACACCGTGAGGGATTTCAGACCCTGGAATGTCTTCTCGGTCAGCGCCGAGATCTTGTTGTGCTTCAGATGGAGCTCCACGAGGTGTCGTTGGGCGTCGAAACTGCCGTTTGGTATGGTGAACAGGTGGTTGCTAGAGAGATCGACGTTTTTCAGATCGCCGTAGAACTGGAAGGCTGCCGCGTCCACGATCTTGATGCGATTCTCTTTCAACACTATTCGCTGGATGCTTGGATTCAGCGCAATAGGTATTACGTCCAGATTGGCGCCCACGCAGGAGACCACCAGGGTGTCGTCGTCGCATGTGCAGCCGGTGGGGCAGAAAGTCCGTGCCTCGGCTGTGCCGAGGGCGAAAAGGCCGACCAGGACGAACAGATGGAGAACGCTGATGACGGTAAAGCTGCGTCGCGACGTCTGCAAACAACAAACGGGAAAGTTCCAATCAATTATAGGTAATAAAAAGTTTTGTTTGGAGTGGCATAAACAAATATTGCGATAGTTACACACTCTAACTCGGAAGTAATTTTCGGAAGGAATAAAATTCGCGCGTCAATTCTAGATCTATTCTAGTTTCGTTCACTGGAGAATCACTGTCGAGAGCGCACGGTGGACAAACTCCCCGGGTCCTATACGTTCTAGCATAGAACGCTGTCGACAGTCGCCTCAGGGAATCGATACCGTCTGGCGCACACCGCACCCAATTTATGCCGGTTTTACGACAAGAGCGTTGAATTATTTTCCGCGGAGCTCACCGCGCCGCGCACCACCGACCGACGAGCAACGCGCTCGTTCATTCTCCCTCTCTCTCTCCCTTCGCGCTCGTAACGTGAAGGTAAAGTTATTTCCGTTTTCGTTGGCCGCGATCGCGCACGTAGGTGCGAAATTAAGCCTGCCGCGCGCAGCTGAAACGCCCGACCGGGCTAAATTATATCCGGAAATACGAGCGCCCGCGGCTGTTCCGCGGATAATAAGCTCCTGGGGCGTAAAAACTTCTATTCTAGATGGAAACGCCCGAGTGCGCCGTCGGTCGCCCGGACGAGTCCGAGCGCGCCGTGGCCCAAAGTACGCCGTAAAACCTAAACGGGATGGCTGATCCCCGAAATGGGCGAAGACGCCCGGTGTCGTTTCGGGACCGGAGTGAGTGAGAGAGAAAGAGAAAGAGAATTCTGGTTTTCCTCGGCAGGAGAAAAATTCGATATCGACCCAGACGGGTTTTGATATAGGCACTATGTCAATCGGGTGAAACCCGGTGAGATACCCTCGCGTGTACGGGATTTTGTGAAATCGTCCCTGGTGATGTTTTCCTTTCTCTCTACGTGAAGATGCTCCATTGTGACTGATAATCGATACTATCGTAGCGTTGTTAAACACGATCTTTACGCGCTCCACGTAGTTTCAATCCGCGCGGCCGGAACAAAGCCGAGTTTTTATCGGGCAGACTCGATCAAGATTGCCGGGTGATCTGATGGATCGCGTACAGCTTCGTTTATCTGAAAATTCATCGTTCATGCACGATCACGGGAAACGCGATCCGTCGGATTGATAAGAGTATTTTTCTTGCGATAACAATCCGGGTCAACAGAAGTCTAAAAATCCGGCCCGGAATCGATCGCCCCGGCGTGACAGAGTCGCACGAAAATGCCGGGAATATTAACGGCGTTTTCGGGAGAGAAAAAAAAGAGCTTGCGCGTGATTTACGCGTACGGAGGGATTTATTTCGAAAGCTCGCCTCGCCTCGTCGAACCAGTGTCGCGCTGATGCACTCCGTATGTCCGCATTAAGCCACGTATACAGTGTTCGGAAATTCACTGATACGCGTGTCAACATGACAGATGTCGAAAATTAAATCTAAAAGATATATTTACTTCTCGAGACAATTTTCGTGCGACATAAATGATAAAACGTTGAAAAAAAAAAAAACTCCCGAGGACGTGGAAGAAGCACGTCACGCGAACTTTCGAACGCTCTTCTTCTCGAGCGGAAGCAGAATTTAGCGAGACTTTAATTATCGAGATACTCAACACGTGAAAGCCTAAACGGATGAGCGTAGCGCGGGTGATATCTGCTCCCTTTCAGACAGACGAGGGCGAAATCTAGAGCGCGTGGAGTCTGTCCCCTTTCGTGTACCCCGTATATAACGCGCGACTTTACATACGTTTCAGCGCGGACTGCTAATCCGCGCGACGAAATGCTACGCGAGTAGCGGCCGGGGAAAACGCGGTCGGATATTCGCCGCCGTATCACTGGCGCGCGTATTAAAGCTAAAAACGGTCGCGTCATTAGGAAAGGATTATGCGATCCCCGCGAATACGAAACTTCCTCGTGTCCTCCACGCGCGCCTGACCCCGTTACTCATTTCTCATTTCAACTGTATTACGCAGCATTACGAGATCCGGCCGTTATTAATGAGTTTTAGGCCACAAATAGACTTTTCGCCCGTCCTCCCTCGCCTCGCATCCGTCGTTTATCTTCTTTATTGTTTTAATGCTGTCAATGATTTTATTGGAACGAACCAGATATCGTTGTTATACCCACGGCAAACCGATGAGTTCCAAACTGGAATTACTCTATCAATCATTTTTATTAGAAGATTACCGCTTGCGGGATTTATATTATTCGCAGAAACTTGCGAGCCCGAGTCCTTAAAAGGGAAAAACGCTCAGTGCCTCTCATTTTCTAAATTAAAGTGCTAACTTGCGTTCTCAGTGTTTTATAATTATAATCTAATTTTTACAATTATAATAGGATACTTGATTCTACATTTCTCTCTTTATTATCATTTTTGCCTAATTTTATATAATATATTGCTGCAGAGCTGTATTTCTATCTGCACCGTAATCTCCACTATAAATTTCTGTCTAGCTGCTCACTCTCTCTATGTTACCTACATTTTCATTATTTTCAATTAGTTTTTCGGTTCATTACTATAAATCACTGTTGTGTCTCTTGCAATGTTATTTTTCCATTTGCATTTTCTCTTTTCTTACATTTCGCCTAATTTGATTTCGCTTCAATTACCTTATATATGTATGTAGAGTATCTCAAAATTTTTCTGACTCTTATGGAGCTCGAGATGCGGGCTATTCCTACGATTCTCGTCGATCGAAATAACGCGAGTGCGAACTTACTTATCCATTTCCTCATCCTCTTAAACTTTCGTTACTTCTATCCTGTCACGTTACGTGACAGGATAGAAGTAACGCTCCCCTAAAACTTCCAACAAACTTATCGACGAGGTGATGCTATCAATGCATAGTGCCACGCGAACCGACGGGTTTAAAGACTATCCGCGCGTCTCCATATTATTTATGCAGCTCGACGAGGGCCGCCGCTGGCAGGTGGAGAGCACAACGCGACTCATCGGCGTGCACGAGGCGCGAATTACGTATGCGACAACATGCGGTTGGAATCGGAACACCGGTGTCCGATTCAGACGTCATCGTCTGCTGCGGAGACACCGGAGGAATTAATAGAGCAACGTGTAATATAACCGTCGCGAATAATCATGCCTAGGTCGGCCTACACGCGCGTCTCGATGCCATCGCATATCCATTTTAGGGTAAAAAGCACATATCGCACACGACATTCCTCTGTTACGGTCGTGATCTTGGTATCGTCGAGACATCCTTTTC